CAGCTTCAGTGACTCCATCCAGCCACCCTATACTTTGTCATCCCCTTCTTCTTTTGCCCTCAATCTTTTAACAGCATTAGGCTCTTCTCCAGTGAGTCCTTACTTCTTATTAGGTGGCAAAAGTATTTGAGTTTCATTACTTAATATATTTATAAAGAATATATCTGCCATCATAAATCCACCCAAGTGAGCAACCAACTGATCCATCCATCCATCCATCCATTCATTCTGCTTGCACATCTTTACTGCTGACTGAAATCTTTCATGTGTATCTCTTGACTCCTATTTGGTTCAGGGTTGTTTGTTTTGTCCTTTATTATCCAGAAAATACCACCCTAATTTATTAGCTGGACTATTTAAAAAAAAACAAACTCATCACAAAACAGTTTATAGAACAGCCGTGCCATTTTTTCTTATTCTTTGCCATTTTTAGAACTATATATGGGTGATGGAGGACAGCAATAACTGGGAAATAAATTCTGACTGTTGACAGAGAGATTCCTTTGTAAATCTTTAGGAAAAGTGACAAAATAGATGCACATACCCAGATATTTATTTGCTTAAAAACCAAAGCGGTGTTCTTTACAGAGAGGCAACAATAAAATGGATTAGATTCCCAAGACTGTTTAAGGTCTGTTTCCTATTTTTTAGAAGCCAAGATGGAAAAACACTAAAAAAAATTCCCATCATGCAGAATTAAGTGTACAGCTTTTATATTATGTTCTAATGTAAAACCTACTCTGAAAAGAACTAAAAAGACATTGGAGATGCAGCTGAGCTAACTGGCATCACAGACCATATCCAAGAGATGCCCATGGCATCTAATCCACTCGCCATGTTCTCTGCAAAATTCCAAGCTTTATTTCTCTATCTGTACTCCTTTCCTATTCATAGCACGGTGAAAAGTAGGCAGGTAAATGATATGAGCATAAATAAATTGTTTCTGCCGTATTACTTTATGCTTCTAAATACTCCTTTAATACCTATGTGTTCTCTAAAAATTTCTGCAGTTTTAGAAACAGAAATGCACACACATTTATTGCAATAATGATGGTAGCCACAGAGTGATGCCAGTCCTGATCTGGTCTAGGATACATTCACTCACTCACTCACTCACTCACTCACTCACTCATTCATTCATTCATTCATTCATTCATTCATCTTCAAGACTGCCCATCGCACAGAGAATCTTTGGGTGGTGTTATTATTCTCTCTATAGAAGTCCATGGGAATGACTTTGGAAGACAGGAGGAAATGCTACAGACCGGGTAGCCATCAGGTAAAAGATATCTCAGCCCACAAAAATAGAAGGGTGTGGGAACTGTTTCAGAAGAGACTCTCCCTAGTTTTCTGGAAAGTAAAAGGAAAGGAGGGAAGAAATTAGTTTCAGATGTGCAGGATTCTGTTAATGTCGCCTTATAATGAAGATAGAGCTAGTATTTATAAAGGTGCTTCTTTGCTGACCCACCTCAAAGGGCTGACACAATCCTATTCCTCTGGCTTTAACAAAACTGAAAGGGGCCTTGGAGATCTTCTAGAGCAACCCCCTGCTCAAGCGGAGACCCTGTGTTAGATCGCGGGAAAAGAGACTCGAGACCAGTGTGACTTTTCAGCTCTTTATTTATTTCCTAAAATCCATCTTAACCGGTGAGCCGCGGCAGCCTCTTTTATTGACAGCTGCTCGCGGCTAGTGGCCAATGACGGCTCCTTGAATCTCCCGCCGTCCAGACGGGCCAATCGTAGGGTAGGGATACTGTCCAATCAAAATGGGGTATTTGGGCCAATCAGTGAGTTGCCCTGGTGGGCCAATCAGATTACAGGATTTCAAGTATGTTAATACAGAACACCCTGTAACCATTCCAGACAAATGGCTGTCCAATCTCTTCTTAAAAACTTCCAGTGACCCATAACTCCCGAAGGCAAGCTGTTCCACTGATTAAATGTTCCCACCATCAGGAAACCTCTCCTTATTGTAGGTTGGATGTCCTTGATCAACCATCGCCTTGTTTACGGGTGTTGCTTTTGTTCCCCAACCGCTGCTAAGCACTCTGTGGTTTCTTAGCAAGCTGAGGGACTACAGAACCCACGCTCTGACTTCCCTTCCTCCAAGATTCTTTGCACTTTTGCAAAGGTTGCATTTCCTTTCCATTTTTATTTATTTTATTTATTTATTTTATTTTGTCAAGCGATGATAAGATAACAGGTATAAGGATAAACATAGTTATGAATACATGAAATGGATACATATAAGAAAAATAAAAGAAACAATAGGACAGGGACGGTAGGCATGTTGGTGCGCTTATGCACGCCCCCTACAGACCTCTTAGGAAAGGGGTGAGGTCAATAGTAGACAGTCTAAGGTTAAAGTTTTTGGGGTTTGGGGAAGAAACCACAGAGTCAGGTAGAGCAGTGGCCCCCAACCTTTTTTGTGCCACGGCCCGGTACCAGCATCACAAAATGATCCACGGCCCGGTACCGGCATCAGCACGCATGACAAGGCAAGGCGAGCCAAGCGACCGGCCAGCCAGCCGTCCCCCGCTTCTCCCCGCCACCTTCAACTCCTCCTTTGTACCTTTGTCGATGGGCTTCGCTTCGGGACGGTCGCTCGGCTCGCCTTGCCTTGGGTGCTGAAAGAATCCTCACGCCTTAGTTTCGTTCGAAGCCCCCCCCCCTTCGATGAAACTAAGGTGCGAGGATTCCTTCAGGACCCAAACGCCGCTTTCCAACCGGAAAAGCTCACCCGGAAGCACTTTCTCGTCAAACAAGATGGCAGCGCCCAGCAAACCGGTGGCACGGTAGGAAATGTTCCACGGACCGGTACCGGTCCGCGGCCCGGTGGTTGGGGACCCCTGAGGTAGAGTATTCCAGACATTGACCACTCTGTTACTGAAGTCATATTTCCTGCAATCAAGTTTGGTGCGGTTTACCTTGAGTTTGTATCTATTGTGTGCTCTTGTATTGTTATGGTTGAAGCTGAAGTATTCATGGACAGGTAGGACATTGCAATATATAATTTTATATACTTCACTTAGATCGGACCGAAGGCAGCATAGTTCTGGGGTTGTCTAGGTCTAGAATTTCAAGTCTGGTGGCATAAGGTATTCAATGGCTTTGTCAACTCTGAAGCCTGCCTGGTTGAAGCCATCTTGGGGCTTCAGTGCTGCCACACTAGACCTGAAGGATAGGGAAGACCTGAAGGATCAGAGACAGCTGGGTTTGTGTAGTCAAATTAAAATACTTTTCTCCTGGGAACCAAGGACATTCTCACACCTGGCCAAGGGAAGGAGGAGTGATGTCACCAGACCAGCAGACACTGCTCTGATTGGGCCATGTGACTGATTGTTTGGGACTGGGGCGGGGGGGACGACTTTTGCTTTTAATTAGGAGAAAACCAAGGGATTCTTCAGAGCCGGTTTTCACCAGATATGTGCCAATATGATATTTCCAATAAAGCTATTCTTTGAGGAATCTACCTGCCTCAGAGTTTTTGCTTTCAGTGGATCTATTACTTAGAACCCTAACAGGCTCCTCTCTTATTTCTCCATCTCCATTTTGACTTTCTAGCTTGTTCACTCTCGGCAGCTGAACTGACTTTCTAGAAGAAGTTATACAGCCTCGGGAATAACTTTAGTTTTATTGGTGGCTTCTCAGAACAGAATAGAGTAAAATAGGCCAGCTTAGTGGTTAAAGCAACAGGCTAGAAACCAGGAGACTGAGTTCTAATCCCACTTTAGGTGCCTAGATTATTTTGAGCCATTCGTTCTCTCTCAGGCCAATTCATCTTGCAGGGTTGGTGTTGTGAGGAAAATAGGAGGAGGAGGAAGTATTAGGTATGTTCTCTGCTTGAGATATTTATAAAAATAAAAAAGGGATATAAACTTTTTTTAAAAAATAGTATAATCTTCCCAAGTGTTCCTTTATTCGTTTTTTAGCAACTGTAAATCTCCCAATCGCTCCTTTTCCATCAGAATAGAGCTGGAAGTGGGACCTTGGGAGGTCTTCCAATCTAACCCTCTGCTCAGGCAGGAGACCCTGTACAACTTGAGACAATTGGTTGTCCAGTCTCTTCTTAAAAACCTCCAGTGTTGAAGCACCCACAACTTCTGAAGGCAAGCTTTTTTTATCTTGGCAATTCCTAAAAAATCCTGCTTCGTTTGTTCACTTCGCCTACCGTGAATACCTGCAGGAACCCTTCCCTCAAGATCTTATTCAAACCCATTTCGTTGTTGCTGTTGCTGTTGCTGTTGTTGAGGCATAATTGATTAGCACATCACTTCGCAAAGGCCCCCAAAATGGACTTAACTGAAGTTTAGCGAGGAGCAAAGCTTTTTACTAAGGCATTTCCATCTATGGGGATAGAAGTTAATGATAGAACCATTCTCTGCCAATCTCTCTCTCTCTCTCACGCGCATACACACACACTCTTTCTCCCTCTCTCTCTCTCTCTTGGCTGCTTGATGTCAGAGCTGAACAAAGTACAAGGGGTATATATAAGAGCAGCATTGTCTGCCAGCCAGAAAGATAGCAAAGAAGACTATTGGATTAGAAGAGTGGAATTCAACCCATCCTTTTCTGCTGTTGCAGGGACCTTCGCTTAACCCTCCCAGGTAAATCTCAGGTTGAGAATATGTTGTCTTTCTTGTGACTCTTCAGAAAGAGAAAGCAAAGGTAAACAGGAGAGGAAGGGGCTGGACCTGATGCACAAAGCAAATTCTTTCCAGCCAGACAAGAGAGGAGATACCCTCCTGTTTTTAATTTTCTTTTCAGTACATTCATAAACTCGGATAGGAAAATTGAAAAGGTTAAAAATTGGGGTTGGATTGGGCTCGGGTGAGCCACCTGACTGAATACCCATTGAATAGCAAGATTTGCCATTCAGCACTGAAGAGAATCCTGGAAAATGGATATTGGGGTGCCTGGGTTTGTGTTTGTAATTTGCTAATTTGGGCTTTTCAAATTTTTCTTTCTCCCACTTTTTCATTCAAAAACAGCCAAAAGAGAAATGTGCAGTCTTAAGGGACCTTTTCTTTTCATCATCTTGTCTCTTACTTTAAACTCCCTGGAAGCGACACCAGTCGAGAGGTCAGTAACTTTAAAGCTTATTCCTTTCCTGTTCCCCGTCCTCCTCCTCCTCCTCTTTCCTCTTCCTCTTTCCCTAAAAAATGTGTTGCACAAGCTGGTATTTACTACTGTGATGCCAAAGGCAGTTAGTTTGGGGATAAAGATGCGGATAAAGAAGGAGAGGCTTATGGCAGAGAGATCCAAACCTAGGAATAAGGAGAAATTTCTTGACAGTGAGAACAATGTTATCAGTGTAATGGCTTGCCTTCAGAAGTTGTCCTGCATCACTGGAGGTTTTCAAGAAGAGACTGGACTTCTGGATTTGTCCAGAATAGGACAAAATAGTGGACAAACTCCCTGCTTAGAGAAGACCTCCAAGGTCCATTCCAACTCTGTTATTCTGCTCTGCTCTGTTCTGTTCTATTCTGTTCTGTCCTGTCCTGTCCTGTCCTGTCCTGTCCGATCCTATCCTATACCTATCCTATCCTATCCTATCCTGCCCTATCCTATTCTTATTTCTACTGTACTCAATTAAATTCTATTTGATTCTATTCTGTTCTGTTTTTATTCTCTTCTCCTCTCCTCTCCTATTCTCTTCTATTCTATGCAGAAAGGGAAAATTTGCTGTTTATTCTCATTTAAAGACTACTTTCTGTGGCTTTATCTTATGGGACATCCAACCGACAATTGTATCTCTGATGGTGAGATGCAACTGATGAGAATGTATGCCTTTTAATAACATTTATTAGACATAAAGGGGTGCCTCTCCATTAATATCTTTAATGGATAGGCATCCTGCTTTGCTATAAATATATTTATTTGCTATATTTATTTATTTGCTATAATTACACAGATAACAAAACCCTCCCTTTTATTAAGATGTTAACCTTTTCCTTTGTAATATTAGGTTTTCTAAAAGTAAACTTGAAAGCAAAATTTCAGGACCAAATGGATGCTCCTAAAATTGAATTACCTTTTAAGTTGATTCTACTTTAACTATATCCTTCATGGAGATGGAAGGTCTAGAAACATGATAAACAAACAAACAAATACATCAATAAATCTCTTAAAGATTATTCTGTCCTACAAGGAATGGCAATGTATATTTTTTAAAGTTTTACGCACCGCAATATTTCTTCCTTTATCTTTATATATTGAATGCTTACCAATATTTCTGCCTTCACTGTTGTCTGCTCTATAAAAAGGCTATTCCGTTTAATAAGAAGACTTGAATATTTTTAAATCCACATAAAACCTGGGTACACAATGTCTTATTTCTCCTTTACATTCATCTGAGTTAGAATCTAAATGTTCCCACAGCCATTTTAAACCAATAAAAAAGAAGAAATTGTTAGAGATGGAATCAAAATGAAAAAGGGGGAGGTTGTTAGAGATGGTATCATATTTGTAGACAGATATCAGAAAAGTCATCCATATTGACTTTAGACTTTTGACTCAGGATTATTTTGAGGAGAAAGTCTCCATTACCTTGAGAAGATTAAAACAAATCATTTGTTCCCCTTATACGAGAACATTCCCCACCCAGAGTTTTTAATCTCAGTAAAAGTGCTGAAAGTCTTAGAAATTTCCAAATAACCCAATACTTATTCCCATGTGAATTTCCTACCTTTTGAGAAAAGTCAAAATAGTCACATTTTGTTACTCACATAAAAAGACATTTGGGATGATCAATAGATATATAATAGAGTTAACATTTAAAGACTCTTGATCTCTACTAATTTTGATTATTTTAGCTAAATTTAGTTAATCATAGTGGATAAAAATAGATTCTGACTGTATCAGAAGATGGTAGCATAAAGTAAATGTTAAAGCTAATATAAAGGAAGATTATTCACAGTGAACCCCTTTGGATTTCAGAAAAATCCCTCAAGACTGAGAAAATCTTTTTTTTCTGAATCACGGGGGAAAACATCAGCAAGAATAAACCAAGGCAGGACAATCTGTGTTTAATTATTATAGATCCCTTAAATCCTAGATAAATGTGATGGGAGTTGAATTTAATCTAATAAGTCCCTGATTTCCCATCCTGATTTAAATATTTACATAGATAGATGAATTCCATAATAGGTTTTCAAAATTGTGTATGGAGTTAAACTGCATAAATCAACTACCTATTCAAAGCATATGCAAACCACTTCTTGCTTTATTACATTTTCATATTATTTATTTGATTTATACCCGGT